CTCTTTCTTTACTACGACAGACTGATACAGCGCACGCTTCACTGCAGACGCTGCACCTATCGATCTCACGCTCCATTTTTCCCACATTCATGAACAAGACCCCGAGATACTTGAACTCCTCCACTTGGGGCAGGACCTCCTCCCTGACCCGGAGAGGGCACTCTACCATTTTTCGGCTCAAGACCATGGCCTCGGATTTGGAGGAACTGATCCTCATCCCAGCTGCGTCACTCGGCTGAGAACTGCTCCAGTGAAAGTTGTAGATCACGACCTGATGAAGCCAACAGGACCACATCTGCAAAAAGCAGAGACGCAATCCTAAGGCCACCAAAACAGATCCCCTCAACACCTTGGCTGCGCCTAGAAATTATGTCCATAAAAGTTATGAACAGAATCGGTGACAAAGGGCAACCTTGGCGGAGTCCAACTCTCACCGGGAACAAGCCCGACTTACTGCCGGCGATGCGGACCAGGCTCTGACACCGGTCATACAGGGACCTAACAGCCCGTATTAAAGGGCCCGGTACCCCATAACAAACTCCCACGCACCCTCCAGGACCCTGCTGAGGGTGCAGAGCTGGTCCAGTGTTCCAGGACAAAAACCGCACCGCTCCTCCTGAATCTGAGGTTCGACTATCTGACAGACCCTTCTCTCCAGAAAGATGTGGCAAACATTTCTAAAACATATTAAATCAAATTTCTAAACAAATTGCTTAAACAAGCTAAATTATTTTAAAATTAAATTTAAAATGATTATAAATATAAATGCATTCTGGCCCACAATGAGAGACATTTAGTGAATTAATGTTCATGTAAATATGTGCTATGCATACCTTTGGTGATAAGTTATATTTTATGTATCTAACCATTCATGAGATACATGAGATACAATAGGCAAAGTTTTTATTTGACTCCAAAGCCGAACATGGTTTCACAAAATTAATCTCATGTCTTACAGTATTAAATTAAGCCTCAGTCTTGTGATAAACCCTTTACTAAAACAGACGTATTTTCCCCTCACAGTTGTTGTTCCCTGCTATCCGTCTGCTGCTGGAAACGTTCGTACTTAGACGTCAAACGTCACTCGGAAATTAACAAATGCCTGTAAGCCTGAGTCTGGAAGAGTTTAGAAATTATTGTAAATATTATTTAAAAAGATCAGGAAAGAAATCTTGTTTGTTTCTGTCACTCTGGTTTAGCCATACATAATCAAAGTAATTTATCAGAATGCACCTATAGCAGGAAATGCTATAGTTTCTTTGAAAACAGTAAGAATTAAATAGAACACCTTGAAAACACAAGCAGGGTCTGTGTTCAGCTTGTTCAGAGTCTTATCTGTGGTGGTTTGATCTTACCTGGCCTCTGTAGGTGATGGTGACCAACGTGACGTCTCTGCTGAAGACTGTGAAGGCAGTGGAGGATGAAGCCACCAAAGGAACCAGAGCTTTGGAGGCCACCATCGAACACATCAAGCAGGAGCTGGCTGTGAGTGGTTTCATAATGTTCCTATACTGGACGGGAGACGCCCCCACTAGCTTTGATGTTTAGAGCGCTATCTCACTCGCAGTGTTCTGGTTTTCCCACACAGGTGTTCTGCAGTTCTGACCCACCGCCGAAGATGACCACGCCCGAAGAGTTTATTCGCATGACCAAAGGAATCACCGTGGCAACAGCAAAAGCAGTGGCTGCTGGGAACTCCTGTCGTCAGGAGGACATCATCGCCACCGCCAACCTCAGCAGGAGGGCCATTGCTGACATGCTGCACTCCTGCAAGGTACACCGGATGCTTATAATGAA